AGAACACTTAAATAATATGGTGTTGCACAACACCTGCCACAGAAAGCTGCTGCTATAAATAAGTTTGTTGTTTGTTTGTTTGTTTTTTGTTATTTTAAAACAGTTGTGTTGCAACTGTTTCTGGACAAATAATCATTCTGTCTCTGTATAGTAATGTTGTTTGCAACAGAACTGTCATATTAATATATTTTATACTTGCTGCTATAAATAAGTTTGTTGTTTGTTTGTTTTTTGTTGTTTTAAAACAGTTGTGCTGCAACTGTTTCTGGACAAATAATCATTCTGTCTCTGTATAGTAATGTTGTTTGCAACAGAACTGTCATATTAATATATTTTATACTTTAGAAGCAAAAATTCATTGTAGAGCATAACAAAAAAAAGATATACACCTCACTTAACCGAAAGTATCATGATTACTAAAATTAAGAAAAAGATTATTAAAATAACATTTGATAATATGATAATATTATTTTTAAAATACAGAAGATGTATGTCATGAGCTAAGCCGTTCTCCGGGGATTCTATGCATGCTCGATCACTGTCGGCGGTGGAATCTTCCACACACCGGCACATCAAGACAACAACACATCCACCACACCACCAGCACTCCCTCTACACATCAACAGCTCCACACAAACACAACCACACACTAACCACCAACTGCACAACGACACACCAACACCACATAGAAACCACCACCTCCTCACAGTAACACAGACACCACACAGACACCAACACCTCCTCTAGACACCACCACCTCCACACCAACACCTCTACACACTGGCACATCAAGACACCAATACATCCACCACACCACCAGCACCACCTTTACACACCAACAGCTCCAGACAAACACAACCACACATTAACCACCTATACACACAACACCACCTCCACACACCAACATTGTTATTAACATATGCAGCACTACCCTTTCATCCATTTTTCAATTTATTGCTGCCATGAAAGCTTTAATGATAAAATCTCAACCCATATTTAAACAATACACAGCACCAGAAACATTGTGATTAACAAATTCAACATCATCTTTCATTCATTGTTCAAATTCCCACTAAAATATCCAACTTCATGTTAAAATTTCAAGCCATATTCAACACATAAACAACAACCAAAATATTGTTATTAACAAATCCAACATATACTTTCATCCATTGTTCAAATTCCCACTGAAATATCCAAATTTACGTTAAAATCCCAAACCATATTCAACACATACACAACACCCGAAATATTGCTTTTAAGAAATCCAGAACCAACTTTCATCCAATTTTCAAATTCACAGTGAAATATCAAAATTCATGAAAAAATCAAAGCTCACTGCCAAGCACAAACCATTCACAACAAAGATATTGAGAAGCACTGCTTAGGGTTCTAAATATGTAATCATCTCAATAAAACCAAAAAATTTAGATCAAATCCACAAACCAAACAGACCACATACAGGGCACCTGAAGCATTGCTAACAACAAATCAAGCACCAAAAATCCAAAGCTCACCGCAAAGCACCAATCCGAACAACATTGCCAACTGAAATCACAAATCACAGAGCTTCAAAAGAATGAACCAAATCCAACATGAATGCAACATAAAGCATCAAAATCATCAACATAGCATATCAAATCGAAAACCACCAAACCGAGTAAACAAAGAGAAATCAGGGAGAGGAAACCAACAACCATAATGGGTAGGAGGTGAAGAATAGAGAAGAGAGGTAAAAGAGGGAATATCGCACAGAGCTCGTAATGCGCATAACCACTAAACCGAACCAAAGAAGAGTAGAGAGAGGGAAAGA